TGCTTGGTTTTGTTTTTTTGGTTTTGTTTTTATTTTGCATTAAAAATTTTTTTTTTTTGACACATAGATGTTCTCTTGTGAGTTTTTTACTTATTTATATATTTCATAAGATAATTGATAGTATTTTTAACTATGTATAAATTGTTGAACTTGATATGTTGGTGTTACTATCAGTGCCGGCTCGAGCAAGCGCGAGGCCCGACGCGAGTTTAGTTTGCGAGGCCTTCAATGAAAACTTAAAAAAAGGTAGGGGTTGAAGAATACTAATGTACGAGGGTAAAATCGTGTTTTTATATATAATAGTCTTTTAAATATAAAATATATAAACAAATATAAATAAAATATAATACATAATATATAAATACTTAACAGTGTCACAATTATTATTTATTGAACAAATACACATGCTGTAATATGTTTTCCACAAAAATCATATATTATGCACATTATCGTTTTTATTTTGATTATTAAATCTTCTATAGAAAACTTAAAAAAAAAAGTTCCGCATAATAGGGCCCCGCATGGTCTTCTTAAAAAGCTAGAGATAATTATATACCTCTTTATGCAATGCAAGGCAAGGGTGGTCTCAGTTTTTGAGCGCAGATTTGCGACAATCATCTTGAAGTTTTATATACATATTGTACAATATATATGCATATATATATATATATATATATATATATATATATATATATATATATATATATATGTATTTTTTTTTTTTTCTAGAATAATATGTACAAGGTAAATTTACATTGAATATATTACTGGTAGGACTTCCAGAAGATCACATGCACTTATCATAAAGCCCTTTACAATCTATATTAAGAGTTAAAATACATAAATAAATTTACAAACAATTTTAAAATGCGTTTATATATTATAATACTCTTTAGATGTTAAGCAAGTTTTAACAATATTTATAATATATGTACAGTATATATGTATGTATATATGTGTTGTAACAATATTTATATGTGAATATATACATAATATTTCTCAATATTTAATATTATGCAAAAACAAACAAACAAAAAAACAAACAAAAGCTCAAAAAAATTACATCCGTTTTCATCAGTATATATGTAATGACAATATAATATGTAATCTAAAAAATATTGTCGTTCAGATTACAATTCCTTAATTATTTTGTGGAATATGTAATAATTTTAAAATATAACTATGTTATCAATTGAAAAAATTACTTCTTTTAGTTTTCTTTCAAAAGAAAAATAACTCCAATTATGCAAAAAATCAAAATGTTTTAAAACTATTTTGTTCCATAAAAAGGCTCCACGGTATTGAATATAAGATTTGCCTATATTTGATTGAAAAATTGGTTGTTGGATATGTTTATTATTTCTTAATATATATTTATTTTTTTCTTTCATTGAATATAGCTTATGAAAAGAAACAGGACAAGCATTAATTTTGCATTTAAACATAAAATAAAGAACGTTAAATATATTTGCTTCGTAAATATTAAGAATATTCATGTTTAATAATAAAGGCCTGGCATGAGTAAAACGATCTTTAAAATTAATAAGACGTGCTACATGCTTCTGTTGACAAAGCAAAGGCTTTAGCTTAATTTTGTTGGTACTACCCCAGGCAATATTAGCGTAGTTAATATGGCAGTGAATTAATGAGTAGTTTAGTTGAACTAAAGTATGTTTATTTAAAATGCTTCATGTTTTATATAGAATCCCAATACTTTTTGCAATTTTATTATTTAGATTTCAAAATGCGGTTTTTCCATGAAAGATTTTCATCCACAATAATACCTAAAAATTTAGTATAAGTTACTCTTTTTATATTAATTTTATCAATGAAAAGCGGCGGCATTTCCCTTGGTAGTATATGCTTTTTATAAGCTAAATGAAAACGAATCCACTTAGTTTTTTCAATATTAAGTGAAAGCTTATTTGATTTAAACCAGTCAGATATTTTCTTTAGTTCTACATTCATGTCATTAAATAAGTTATTGATGTCATTTCGGGATAAGAAAAGATTAGTATCGTCAGTTTTATAGAGGTCATTAATATAAATTAAAAATAACAGTGGTCCAAGTATGGAGCCCTGGGGGACTCCATAGGATATATCTAAAGCAGTAATTGTTGAGTGTGTATCAATATGCATGAATTGTTTACGATTATTTAAGTAACTTTTTAATAACATTAAGACTTTACCAGTGATACCGTAATGTTCTAATTTATTTAATAGAATGCCGTGATCAATAGTATCAAAAGCTTTAGATAGGCAAATTAACTTTCATAATAGCCTTAGAAGCATTATATCGAAAATGAGTATACAAAACAAGCATACTTTTTTTGCCGATGATTTAAACTTGGATGCCATGTGTTACGAAAAGTTTGTAAATACAAAAAACTTTTTTAATTCATTATTTGAATTTAATATTATACCATCCATATTTAAGCCTACGCGTATTACAAAAACTACTTCGTCAGCAGTTGATAATATTTTAACTAATAGCGTTTTAGGTACAAGTTTTGAATCCGGTATTTTTATTGCAGATTTTTCAGATCATTTTCCTATCTTTCATGTTGCGCACGGAGTTTTGTCTAATAACGACAATAAAAAAATATCAGTTACTAAAAGAAATCTCTGTTTTAAAAATCTAGATAAACTTAAAAAGAAGCTCCACTAAGAGAAATGGGAGAATGTCTATTCCTCTGCAGACCCCAATAGCGCGTTTGACAATTTCGCGAATATTTTTCAAAATATTTATGACAATGTCTGCCCAAAATTAGTCAGTGAAATAAAAAACAAACAACTTAAAAATCCATGGATGACCAATAATTTAAAATAATTTGGTTAAATCATCAAAAAGAAAACAAAAGCTCAACATAAAATTTCTGAAATCTAAAAAAGAAAATGACGAATATGCGTACAAAACATATAAAAAGTTTTTCCAAAATAGTGTGAAACAAGCAAATATTTATTACTATTCTAATCAGCTCGATAAAAATAAATTTGATATTAAGAAAACTTTGTCTATTATAAATGAAGTAACTGGAAGAGAGAAAAAGTGGCTCTCTTGCTTGCCACAAAAAGTAATTATTAACAACAAAATTATAACTAGTGAAAAACAAATATGTCAAGAATTTAACAAACACTTTGTTAATGTAGGCGCCTCTCTTGCATCTAACATTGTTCAGTCAACTAGAAAGTTTGATGAATACTTGGGAGAGAAACCCAGGACCAGCATATGTAATGAAAAAATAAATAAACTTGAATTGAGTATACAAAACCATGCATGTAGGGCAATTAACTATTTAAACAGATTAGAAAATCCTTCCCCTATAATGAAATACATTAGTGTACTAAATATATCAAAACTTAATTCTCTTCAAATATTAATTTTTATGTATAATTATAAGAATAACCTGCCAAAAGTATTTTCTAATATTTTTACATCGGCTGTTTCCCAAAAATACAATCTCCGGTCAAATACTAATCATAACTATCACTTGAGTAGAGTAAAATCACAACTGTCAAAATTTTCAATTATAATCCAAGGCCCGTCACTATGGAATCAATTAGAAAATAACAGTTTAAAAAACCTGAAAAGCACTTTCTCTTTTAAACGACAAATAAAATTGCATCTCCTAAATCTCTGAAACACATGCATATATATTTATTTACTTATTTATCTTATATATATTAACTATATATATTTGACATGTTTCTGCGTGTTTATTTTTAATCTTCGTTTGGGTGAAATTTTTTATCGTTTATATTTGTAACGGAGTTTTTAATTTATGTTTTTTACTTAATATATCTTATTGTAAACTTTTTAAAGATATTTGGCTTTAAATATTATTGTTAAAGGGGCTCTATGAAAAGATTGTGGTGACACCAGTCATCCAGATCTTCTTTGAGCCCCTGTCTATTTATATATATACACTTTGTTTAACGTAAAATTTTCTTTGTAATTTTATTATTTGATTATTATATGAACAGCGAAATATATCTATTAAAAAAAAAAGGTCTATAAATAGGATATATATATATATATATATATATACATATATATATATACATACATATATATATATACATATATATATATATATATATATAATAAAAGACCAAAGGTGGAATAGTAAAAGTTGTTTTTGAAAGATCGGTATGTAGCCTGTGTACATATCAAGATATCTGTATTGGAAATAAATGTTTTGTATGGATATTTATTATAAATTGAGACCTTTTAATACAAAAAAATATATATATATGTGTATATATATATATATATATATATATATATATATACTTATATACTTTACTATGTTTACGCTTATTTTACTGTTAAACGATTCTTAATTTTCCTCAGAACATCTACTTCTCCTCTCACTCTGCTCTCATCTCAATTTATCTTAATTTTCTTTTCGACATGAAATCGTTAGATTTGCTCTTTCCTTCTGCTAATTCAACTTTTTTTTTAACTCGTTTTGCTTCTCTAAGCATCGACTGTTTAATGCAATTAATATGGATTGGATTTAAAAAAGAAACTTCAAAATCAAAATTGATAAGAATGCTTATGTTCAAACACATTCTTGTTTAATATTTATTTGGAAAATAACTTTAGGCTTTATAAAAAATTATTTTAAACCACTTTAATTTAATTAACTTAATTAAAATCCATGGTGACTTTAAAATTTTATTAGATTTTTTATTTATTTATAAAGTTTTCGTCATAGATATCAAAAAAGGTTTTGTGCAACGTCATAGACTACGTTTACATCATATTCAAAGTCACTATTTTTTAATTTAATTAAACCAATGTGTAAAACTAATATACTAAGTTATATAGTTCAAGAGTAAATCGTTACTTAAAATGCGCGTAAAGAGAAATAATGCGTAACAAGTTAATTGTTAAAAATGCATGTAATTAGAAGTAAATTGTTTAAAAAATTGTTTATTCTTGTTTCGCTCGACTTTATTTCAATGTACAATTTACAAAAAAAAAATTTAAAAACTGAAATAAATATTAATTTTAGATAAATATGATTATTAGAAAAAAGTTTATTATTAAAAGGACTATTTATTTATAGGTCTATTTACATGTCGTTTGGATAAAGAGGGGTGTGCCAACCGCGCGGTTGATCCCATTTCGCTAACTGTCGTCGAATATCTGAGATAAGAGTTGTAGCAAACACGATTCCAATAACCTAAATCGTATAAATGGTAACAAAATATCAATATTTTACAAATATGATATAACGCATTTATATTTTCTTAAAGAAATAATAAATATTTATATATACAAGTTAAATAAATACTTATGTATTATTACATATATAACAAAAGCTTGAAAAATTGTTTTGTTTTATTGCCAAAAATATTATAACTGTTTCTTTGTATAAACGCAAAAGGACATTTACTTTTTTGAATTAGTTTTAGTTTTCATTCTACAAAATATAATAATTATATCTGCTGATAAATAGTTGACCAAATTCTACCAACACAGGTTATTTCAGTATTTATTTTCCTCAATGAAAAGTATAAATATTAAGATAAAAAAGAAAAAGAAAAAAAAGTAACAAAAATATTAAAAAAGTTCGCTTTTTTGAATGGGAATCAAATTATGAGTGAACCAATTTTATTTATATACAATGTCTCAAAAAATTATCCGACCAAACAAGTTTTTCGCAAAAAAAAAATGTTTACGCTCTAAATTATACTAAAAACAATAATTATACTTACTTAGTCTGTCATTTTAAGTTTAAATTCCCAATAGAATTAAAATGACAGACTAAGTAAGCGATACTTACTTAGTCTGTCATTTTAATTCTAATGGGAATGTATGTTATTTAGCGTTCACATTTTTTGATTCATGATTCAGTTGGCTTATTATTTGTCCTAAAAGAAACTTAGTATTTAATAGGCTTGTAAAAAAATTATCCGACCAAACGATATTTAGGTAAGTTTAATTAACTAAATGTGAAATTTGTTGAAATATTTAAGCAAATTTTTATACAATTAATGAAATTGTATAACAAAAAACTGTTTTTTTGTAGCAAAAAGTTTTATATAAAAAAAAGGTTTCATGTTTTTTGAAGTAAAATGGTTGGAGGTAAACGTCACTCGAATGTTTCTCGGAGAAATTTTGCTGTCGATCTAGTCAATCAGGGTAAAACCTATCGTCAGTTGCAGCAGAGACTGGAATTCCTCATAATACAGTATCCGACATAATGAAGAAGTATAATTTGATCGGAACAACAGCCGCTAAAGAAGGACAGAGTCGCAAAAAAAAAGACTTTTAAGAGTTTTGATAGAAACTTAATTAAACAAGTCAAGAAAAATCGCTTCATTTCTCGAAAACTGGCTGAGCAAGCCGAAGAGAAATATGGAATCAAATTATCCTATCAGACAATCAGAAATCGTATCCGAGACCAGGGATTTCAAGGACGACTTTTGCGTAATAAACCATATTTGAGTAAGAAACACATGAAAAGAAGATTGGAGTTTGCTAAGAAGTTCAAAAACATGCCGTTAAGTTTCTGGAAAAGATCCTGTGGAGCGACGAATCAACTTAAAGTCATCTGATGGAGCCCAAAAAATTTGGAGAAAAGCCGGAGAAGCCTACAAATTAAGCTGCGTGAGAGGAACTGTCAGGTATGGTGGCGGTAACGTGATGGTATTGGGTTCAATGGCTTGGAAGGGTTTCAGAAAACTCCAATTTATTGAAACTATAATGGATCAGGTGCAATACAGAAAGATTTTAAAGCAAAATTTGAAGTATTCTGCTCAAAATCTTCGGCTAGGATCTGATTTTACATTTCAGCAAGATAACGATTCCAAGCATAGTGCCACTAAAACCAAGGAGTGGTTTGCTGAAAATAATGTTGAAGTCTTGGAATGGCCCGCACAATCAACGGACCTTAATCCCATTGATCATTTGTGGGAAGTTTTAGACCGAAAAATTGGAGATCGGTTATTTTCCAAAAAAAATAACCTCCAAGTGGCAGTTAAAAAAGATTCAACCAGAAGAAACAAAATCTTTAGTCGAATCAATGTCTAGACGTCTAGAAGCTGTAATCCAAGCAAAGGGAGGCCCTACAAAGTATTAAAATAATTGTTTTGTTATTTAATAATTTATTATGGAACAAAAAATATGTTTTGTCGAATATTTTTTTGACAATAAAAAAACAACCTAAGTTCCTTTATTTTAAGACTGAAAACTTTGTTATTCATATTTTACACTAAAATAAAATTTTAAAAATTTTATTTTAGTGTAAAATATTCAAAAATTCCCATTCAAAAAAGCGAACTTTTTTATTATTTTTGTTACTTTTTTTTCTTTTTCTTTTTTATCTTAAAATTTTTATTTTTATTAATCTTGAGTTTACCAAAAAAGTCGAAATTTACAAAAATACTTTTTTTAGGATAAATATTTAAAAAAATGTTTGGTCGGATAATTTTTTGAGACACTGTACATCTATAAAATTATATTTAATATTTTTTTCTATTAAACAAACAGCTTTTTTACCACTTATTATACCTGGTTATTGTTCTTTAAGACCACTTATTATACATGGTCATTGTAACACAACAGGTTATCACACTAAGTATCATAACAGTTTATTGAGAACATTTATTTATTTTTTTGACAATTTCGTCATACCTACCAACCTTATTAAAAAATGTTATTATAATAAGAGTTGCTATCAATACTATTGGTAACAATTATTATTTAAGCATAATCTTGCTTAGGATAAATTAAAGCTTGCTTCAATATACCCGTTATTTGCATTAAAAGCAATTTTAAAGTCAAGTCTAAATGAATTGCTTTGAAAACTTTAATAAAATTAATCTTTTCGATAGGCTGTGGTCAGATAAACTTCTTAAACATTTTTTTTTCAGTTTATTTAGCTCTAAAAAAAACCAAATAACTTTGTCTCAGAGCACTGTGGAGAAGCATTTAACAAAGAAGTTCAGACCGTCTTCTTTACCGAAGTCGCATATATGGCCAGAGCAGGCATCAAAGCTCAAACCTCTTGATTCTAAAGTCAGCACTCTAACAACTGCACCATTGCTGCTTATAAATAACTTTAAATTTGTAAAACAAATAAATGCAAAAAACCTTCTTTATTAAAACAGGATATTATTTTACTTTCTCAGTATGAATTTTTTTAAAATACTTTCATAAATTAAAATTTTTTTATTAAATCGTAACTGATTAAAGATTTAAAATGTTAAATTTCGTCAGTCAAAAAAAATAAATAAAGCTTGCCGAAATCAAAAAGTTTCTCTAAGCAAATTTCATGGATCCCATCACAACCACTACATTACAACCACTAATCTTTTTTAGAAGGGAAAAAAAAGTAGTCTCTATGTGAATTACGTAAAAACCACAAATGTTAGACAAAGATTAAATCCCACATTATTCATTAAACCCAGATTTACACAAATGTTCAGAGTGTTTCTGAGTTATTCAAACAGATAAAGGAGTCATGTTGTATTTGGCCATTCATTCTTTCATTCAAAGGTCAGACATAAGGTGCTAACCTGGCTTAACCAGATAAAGCTTTAAAAAGTGAAATTGTTTTGGTAGCATTATTTAGGACTTTTTTATCAAAAAAAGTTGTCAAATTCGTGTGCAGAAGTAGACTTCCAGACAGGAACAATCTTGTTCTACAGCCCTTGTTCTTCTACAGATTGCAGATCAGAGGACATTTGATCTGCAATCTGTAGAGCAGCTTCCAGAATCATAGTGGATGTTCCAGAGTCATTGTGGATTCTTTCATTAAAGCATATATTAATCATTTTGTAAAAAAAAAGAAAAAATAATTTTATATAAAATTGCTGATAAAAAAATTAACTTTTACTCAGTTTTTTTCTTTAAAATATTTAAAGTTATTAGTTTATTACTCATTGACTTTTTAAAAATAATTTGCAAAGCTGTTAATACCTGTTCAAAATAATAGTTATTTGCAAAACTGTTAATACGTGTTCAAAAAACAAAAAAAAAACTCTTTCATTCATTTTATTCATTTAGCTGTAGACTAAACATGATTGTGCCAAATGTTGAGAAAATAAACAAATGTTTTCATATTCTTAAAAACCAGAATCTTAGTAAACACATTCAATAACATCATTACATAATAACATTTCTACATTGTTTTGAGTTTTTCAATCAAACTAGTTTTGTGATAATTTAGTAAATCGGTATTTTAAAAAAGTTAATGTCAATAAATACGAAAAGCAAATGCAAAGAATTTTATATCAAAAACTCTGTTAGGTGAATGCATTAAGCATTTTTTATTCATCAAAAGGCCTGATATGCCATATAAACAAGTTTTTTATTTAATATATACCATACTATACTATAAACGATAAAGACATATATGCCATATAAAAACTATAGATAACAAATTGGGTATTATAAACTATTTAATTATAAAAAAAAGATTGTAATAATTAGCATAAAAGTAAATAGATCAGGCTAATTAACCATTCATTTTGATGATCGGTTAGCTGTGGCTTATAATTATTTTGGCTAAAACACAGGTAAAAATACACCTGTTTTCAGCAACAGCTAAAAAGATATAAAAAATAGATATAACATTTAAGAAAAAAAAATATACCTGAAGTAATGCAATACCAACTGCAATACCACCCACAACTATCAGGTGCTCCATAAACCATTGTGAAATTCCATCAATGCACCCTTGGGTATATATCTTCATTTCACGATCAGCTGACTTGATAGTAATAGAATAATAAAATATTTAACAACAAAGATTAAGCCTATGTTTAAGAAAAAACTACAATAAAGTTAATTAATTTTATTTAAAATAATTTACAATATATAATAATAATTATAATTATTCATGATATTCATATGAACTCCTAATGTCCGCAAAATTTTATATCCGCCATGGTGGGTGGCAAAAAACTATAAACAAACTAAAGTCGGCTAAAATAGATCCGTAAAAAATGATTCGGTTGTAGCTTTCTTAGCAAACTATGCCATATCCGAATAATATTTATAAGTATTATAGGATATTATAATAAAAATTAGCAGTTCTAGATTAATTTAGACCCGTATTATTTATCAAAAGACTGTACAATTAATTAATTCTTACAGGCAAATGGCCTAATCTCACTTTACTAATATATTTTATCTAATATGTTATCTTTTTAAATCAGTTCACAAACTCTATTTTTAAATTCTACAAATGTCTTAAATCTTACTTACAACTTTGTAACCTGTTGTCTGGTTCATAGCATTCCTTTTAAACTTCTTTTTAATCAAGGTCTAAGGTAATAAACAAGTTAAATCAAGGTCTATGGTCTATATATACAGTAACTGGTTGTATAGGTCAGAGTACTTTTTATAAAACCCTTATGAATTGATGGATTAGCTTTTAAGAAACTTGAGAAATTATAAATGCAATTCAGTCTTTTCTCATGCAAGAGCGATATCTTATTACATGCAAAACTATATTACAGTAATTTTGAATATCTGAAAATCAATCAATAATACATTTTAGATTATAATTCTTACTTATATACTTTAAGAAATTTAAAAAAATAAACACAATATTTATCAAAAAAACTGATGTTATTAATATAATAAAAATAACAATAAAAATAATAATAATAACAAGGTCAGGGGCACACAGAGTCTTTATGATGCACAGGGTAGATAATTGAAAATTTACTAGATGATGGCCTTAACTCTACCATCTTAAAAATAACAATAATAAGACTAATAAAGTACTTCTAGTAATTTTCGTCGCCTAATGATCCTGGATCTTCCACCCTATGTGCACCCCTGAACAATGCTCACAATATAGAGTCTTATCTGTTCTAATTCAAATAAAGTGAGAAACTTTTACAAAAAAGAACAAGAACAGTTAAAGTCATGAACTTATACAACTTTTGAATAAATATTTTCAAATATAAAAATAACATATAAATATTTTTAAATAAAGACATCATTAAAAATGAATTTAAATAATTTCAGCACTTATAAAAATAAAATCTTAGGTTAGTTAGAATACTTTGTATAGAACAATTCAAATACTAAAAAAACTTTTTAGGGCTCGGTATGAAATTATATTTTATTTTTTTAGTAATACTAAATTTATGTAAACCTAGAGTGTTGTTTTTATCAAATATTAAAACTAATTAAAATATTTTGCTTTTACTGCAATAAATATTCAAAGCAACCCCATTTGCAAGGTAACTTTGAATGATTTAGTAAATAAATATTATTCCTAATCATTTGATTTAAACATTATTTTAATGTTGTGTTTTTTAAGAGCCTGTCATAGCTCTTATATGCATAATAAAATAATTCAAATTTTGTCAATAGTGAAAGAAGGGCATATAAAAATGTGTATTTTAAAATTTTATATGTTCCTTCTGCTATCTGATTATCAAACCTTTGTTTTTATTGATAGTTAATTTTTGCAATTAAAAAACGTGATTTTTCCCCTTTCATCAATTGCTGCTTTGCTGTCTTCATTAAGTTTTGAACAGCTGTAAACTTACATGTTACAACTAAGTTGTAAACTGAACTTTGCTATCTTCATTAAGTTTTAAACTGAACGTCATTTTCTTGATTTCATTTTAAACTGAACTTTGCTGTCTTCGTTGCGTGTTGAAGTGCAGTGTTTGCTGTCATCATGAAGTTTTAAACTGAATCTTGATGTTTTTATAAAGTTATAAATGAATTAAGTTGTCTTCATTTAGTTTTAAATTGAACTTTGCTGCATTCATTAAGTTTTAAACTAAATTTTTTAATTTCTTGATTTCATTGTTTAGTTCTTATAATTTTGGCAGTTTTCTCAGATTCTTTGACAATTAAAAAAAATATTTTAATCAGCTGTTAATATTATTTTCTTCAATGAACACTTTTAATAGATCTCTTGTTCAAACGATTTGATGTATTATATACAATGAATTTATTTTACTTTTTATATAAAGGTGTTTAATCGAGGAAAAAAAGTCAGCATGGTTTTTATCAAAACTTTTTCTTTGAAGCTCGAGTGTTTATGCGTAAAGTTCACAGTTCGGCTAAACTAAAGTCTTTCTTTAAAACCGCTTGTCATAACGTCCATTGCTCTTCTTTTTTTTTGAAAACTTATTAAAATATTATTTACTGCATTTTAATTTTCTGTTTTTGCAGTTTGGTACGCAACAACTCGAGCTGTAATGTAAAAAAAATGTCCAAGATCTTTGATGTTTTTTTTATTTGTTTACTTCTTTTTGCCACCCATCATGGCGGATAGAAAATTTTGCGGACGTTTGGCGCTCAGATGAATATCATGAATTAGTTATAAAACTAAACAATAGCAAAATCATTATTTGAATACCCTTATTATTATTTTTACCAAAATATGTATTGATAAAGAAAGTGCTTTTTTAAAATATAATGAAAAACAATAAAGTGCGTTTGTAAACTATAATAAAGGAAAAAAAAAGTATAAAATCACCGTCATTTGAACATCACTTAATACTTTTTTACCACAATATGTATTTATTCTATCCTAGAATAAAAAAACTTAAAGTAAATTTAACCATTGCATAATTATTTTAATTTTAGATATCTTTTAGTAAATCACTCCCTCAATCCCAACCTCTGCAGAAGAGTCACACTACAATCTTCTTAGTTAAAATTAGCTAACAACTACAAACAAAATTTAACAAATAATAAAATTTAATACATACAATTTTACAGCATGAGTATGGAACGGAACAGGATTCTGGGCCCAACTGGGAGCAATTAAAGTATATATTATTTTGCCAGTCTAAGTAACTCACCAGTCCACAGCATTTAAACTTAAATAGAAAAGTGAATCAAGAGCTTCATTTTTATTAACAACATGTTACATATTATAACCATAAACATGTTACATATTATAACCATTTTTATTAACAACATGTTACATATTATAACCATAAACATGTTACATATTATAACCATTTTTATTAACAACATGTTACATATTATAACCATAAACATGTTACATATTATAACCATTTTTATTAACAACATGTTACATATTATAACCATAAAAACTTACTGTCATCTGTGAGTAGTCAATAAGATTTTGTAAGTTATCATTGTTTCTATAGTTAACGATAGTATCTTGTAACTTGGAAGATACAAGAGCCTGGATCTAAAAAAATATGTTTAATAAAATTACTTTAAATTCTAAATTTATTTAAAGATTTTTTTCAGCTTTTAGTTTTTAGTGCTGACTTCATGTAATGTAACTCATTTTCAACTTCGTGTAATAACTCAGATTGTAAAACCAATCAATAAAAATACCATTGCAATATTAAAAATAATATATATATATATATATATATATAAATATATATATATATATATATATATATTTATATATATATATATATATATATATATATATATATATATTTATATATATATATATATATATAATATATAGATAGATAGGCGGTATTGCCTGCGCAACGACGATATATTATTTTGTTATATATATATATATATATATATATATATATATATATATATATATATATATATATATTTAACAAAATAATATATCGTCGTTGCGCAGGCAATACCGCCTATCTAAAGTTTATGATCCATGTGAATTCCAAAGTTTACAGGAGGAAGAAAAAACTGAATCACAGACACATTTTTGATTGCAAAGACATATAAGCTGCTTACTTATATGTTAAATATGTATTATAACACTATTATGTAAAATAAATTTAAGAAAGTGAATTTTTTATTAAATTGTGTCACTTAGGTGATACTGTCTTATTTTTATATTACATAGGCGTTATTGCCTTGGATTAATTTTCTATGTAAATTGCTTTTCTAGATTTGAAATTTAGTTGCTACTACCAATAACAAAACAAACTATTTCCTTCAAACTTCAAGGATATGTAGGCCTATTTTCTGTCAAAGCTGTAATATTTATAAGTAGTAAAAAAGACTCTGCAAGAAACAAATTATTGATTAACATTTAAATTTATTCTTCGAAAAAAACAAGATAAATCAATTTGTTTATCAATGGTTCAGTTCCTAATTTTCATATTCTTTAGGGAAAAAACAATAAAAAAATTTTGACCATTAAATGCAAATTTGTTTTATTGACATGTCAGTACGCTTTGTAAATGAAAAATGGCAGTTTTTAACAAAACTTCCTGGCTTACATTTTATAACACTATTATGCTAAAATAAGAACTAAAAATGTTTTGACTTTTGAAAAAACACAAACAAGTTCATATTACAATATCATATTAAAAAGGAAGGTCTTATGCAATTGAAACACGTTTATAGAGGCTCAGTGAGGTAAGTTATCATAGAAAGGGTGGCAGTCACTTGGCAGAACGTCTTTGAGCTCTTGAAGATAGTGATATTTCTTCAGCTTTATTTTTAGCCTGTCTTGATAGAAAAAGTTGAAAGTGATCAGAAAATTAATTTTCTTTGGTCTTCTTGGTAGAAGTTTCCAATCATCGTCAAAGTCCAGTTTGTAAAACATTGTTCCATCGGGCTTGTACCATAGACATCCAAGGTTTGTCACGGTTGGATCGCCGGCAGAAAGTCCAGGACGTATTGATAAGTATACCATTTTCAATGTTTTAGAATACTTCTTTACAAAGAAGTATTCTGAAACATTGTTTTTTTCGAGTATTCCTTGTGCATTTAATGTAATCGCTTGGAAGATGAATTTCTCTCTTTTTTAAGCTCTGTTCAATTGTGCTATGCACTGAATCGCACTTCATTTGGGGTGTGCCCATTTTCCAGGAATTTCTGGAAGATGTTAATATTTAACTCTATACTTATATGAATCAGGGCATTTGACATAATGCTATTGCGGTTATGATGAGTACATTGTATTGCGACTATCTGAATATAAAATCACATGAAGTTTTTCCTTTTTTTTATTTTTTCCTTTTTTCTTAATGCGTGAACGGCGCAATTTACAAACGTGTCAGCAGACAAATCAGCTTCTAATTCATTAAACCAGTAACAAGTGGCATCATGAGTGGAAAGATTGTAAACAGTGAAATTGTAGCAGTTCAACTTGGTTTTGTAGTATAGGGCACTAGAGTAAAAGCAAGGGCTGATTTTCATCGCTTGAACATCCATAGTAAACACATGATGTCTAATCTCCTTTACTATCTTATCTTTATTTAGGTTGTCTTTGTCATTATTTTTTTCTTATCTAACTCAGTTCTTTTTTACAATGTGCCTGTCATAAGTTTCTATGTCAATTTGATTCACTTCAAACGAACAACAGACATCGCATTTGTCTTTTTTAGGTGCATACAAAGCAAGATTTAGTTCCTGAAAAATTTCGATGAATAGTTCTCTTCCTACTGGTTTGATATTTTTTTCATCACTAAACTCCTTGTATACCAGGTACAGTCCAGAACGAGAAGTGTGATATTGTTCTAAGAAAATTTTAGTTGATGAACTTTGGCAATAGTGAGAGTGGAGAGTTGGCAAGGACCACAAGAACTCGTATGCTAAGTCTTTTGAAGGTTTCTTCCTTTGAGGATTTTTGGCCTGCTTCTATTTTGAACCTCCTTGCATTTGTGGATGCCACTTCCACTTGAATTAGAGAGCAACTGCCTCACTGTCCAAGCTTTGATTCCTCAAATATTTAAAAACATAGTCCTACAGACTTGGACTCTTTTGTTTTTCTAAGGAAAAGGTGAAACTCTCTGCCTACTTCCTTTCTAAAAATTTCTTTTGTCATTTTTGTTTTCTTATCTACATTTTGTGCCAAGAAAGTGTTAATTGCAATTAACACTTTCTGTTGATCCTAATTCATTTCAGTTCAGAATTTGGAAAAGATTTCTTTTCTATCTTTGTCTGTAAATTTTTCATAACCCCGATTTTTTGCCTGAGCACACTTTCGTGATAGGCAGGCCACTCCCATTTTCTTTCCATCACAAGGTGTATCATGCCTACTTTTTTCTCCGGTTTGGAGAATACTAAATATGGCAAGCGCTCCATTCTTAGTCCTTTGTTTTTTTCTTTTTCCAATCTAATGTTGATAGTTTTACCTTTCTTAGAGTTTGTTCCTCATCATTTTGAGGGATTTCCACCTCATTAATAATCTCAGCATCAGGATTAATACCCAACTCACAATTTAAGTCTGGATTGCCAATTGAACTCCCTGCAATGGAATCATCAACTACATTAGACATGTTCATCTCAATTTTTTCATTTGAGTTGTACGGAATTGGAACAGAACAATATGTATGGTCTACAATTAGCACCTCACAAACACTCAAGCCACTTATATTTAAACTACTCTGTGATTTGTCAGTAGTTTAAAGTTCATTATCGAACACTGTATCAAAATTGTTGTCACTACTGAGTGTTGAAACAATTTCAGCTTCAGGCATTACTTGAGCATTGTCCTTTCTTCTTAAATGGAATCCGGCATAATTATGTTGACTCTATCATTTCCTGTAACATAAGAGAAAAACTACCATTAGGTACTTTCAAACTAAGTTAATAAGTCATAAGTAAATACTTCATGATCCATATTGTACATACAATGAAAAATTATTTCAGTTTTTACTTGCAAAAATAGGTTGTAAATTTTTTCAAAAACTAAGTCTTTTGAGAATGATAATCTGTTAATTAGACTTCTAAAAATCAGATTGTACTTAAAGTTATATAATTCTATGATAATCAATGATAAAACAAATGATAAAACAGCTTTAATAATAGTTTCACATTATTAATAAATTTTTTTTTTAAGAACATATGATTTTTACAATTCAAACGCAGCTATGTTTTACGACTTCAGGATAAGTTAATAAAACAATTAATTTCAATAGAAGCATTACAAAACTCATTAAAGTGCAACACAATTTATTTTAATAATAAAGTAAATAGAAAAGACATGTGCTGCTCAGATAGAAGATGTTGCGTGCAAATCTTCACATAGGCCGTCCCGCGTTACTTGGATTGCAACGCCTCTGGTGGCTATATTTAAAGTTATGATGATACCAATCAGATGCATCTTAGAGACAAAAAACTCTGTGTGCATACCTCAATATCAAAAAAATCGTCACATCATAGGTGTCCATCATAAGCGGTATTGCCTGCACAACAACGATATATAAAAAAACTAAAAAAACTATTTATAAAAAAAATAAAAATAATATATATATAAAAATAAAAATACTATATATATATATATATATATATATATATATATATATATACATATACATATATATATACATATATAGTATTTTTATTTTTAAATGTATATATGTATATATGTATATATATACATATATGTACATATATATATATATATATATATATATATATATATATGTATATATATATATATATATATATATATATATATATATATATAGTATTTTTATTTTTAAATGTATATATGTATATATATGTATATATATATATACATATATGTACATATATATATATATATATATATATATATATATATATATATATATATATATATATATATATATATATATATATTTTTTTTTTTTCGACATCTTTGCTTTCAACAAGGCTGCAAGCAACCACTATAAGAATTGGAAGTTACTAGAAGAAAAAAGATGAAGTTTATAGAACAAGATAACAATTGTCAGATGACTTAAAAGATTGCAAATTATATAAATCAGGAAAGCGAGATTCAAGGAATAGTCACAGAAAAAGAAAGAGACTTATTAAATTGATTGAGGAGTAACAGTTAAGCAGATAGCACAAAATACGGTAGCTCTTTAGATCAGTGCCCGCTATAGTATTTGTATAAAAGAGAAAGAGAAGTAATACTATGACAAAGTGATAATAGTTGAAAGTGGGCTGCAAAAGCATCTATGTTTAAAAAGCATTTTTGCACCTTGTCTAAAAGTGTAAAGACATCATTGGAAGATCCACCCCAGATATGGCAACACTATTCCATATAAGAATGGATTTGAGATTTATAGAGAAATAGAATAGAATCCAAAGTAAAAAAATGTTGAGCACGACAAAAAGATGCTAATTTTGCAATCAATTTGATATATGGTTTCCAAGAAAGATTGGAAATAAGAGTTAATCCTAGAAGATGAAGGGCAGATGACTCGTCAAGTACATCACCATTGATAAATATAGGAAGATCTAAATTATTGCGGTAACGATTGGCTAAAAAAAATGGGTTTTATCTAAATTTAAGTTCACCAGCCGCTGTAAGCCCCATGCTGTAGCAGAAGTGAGATCCTTTTTAAGCTCAAATGCCCCCTCCAAGCGATCAGAGTGTTGGCTTCTTATCATGGCAAGAATAAATGGTAGTATCATCAGCAAACAATGCCACCTTAGATGTGAGAATATCTGGAAGATCATTAATGTAAATCAAAAAAAGTAGGGCCAAGGATAGAACCTTGAGGAACCCCTGATGTTATAGGATATGAATAAGAGTGCTGTCCATAGAGGACAACTTCTATACTACGATTGGAAAGTAAGGATTCAATAATCTTAAAGATGTTACCTGATACACCGTAAGAAGAAACCTTATGGAGAAGACCAGCATGCTAAACTTTATCAAAAGCTTTAGAAATGTCAAGAGGGATAGCCTTAACCTATCCACCTCAACCTAATGTAAAATAAAACCTGTCAGTTATTATTGTTAGCAAACCAGCTATAGAACAAAAAGATCGAAATCCATATTGATAATCAGAAAGTAAGTTATTAGATTCAAGATGAGAGATTAAGTGTTTGTTAAATAAAGATTCAAAAACCTTGCTTATGATAGAAAGAAAACTAATAGAACGGTAGCTGGACGAGTCAGATTGCTCTCCAGACTTATTGAAAATAGAGATGACTAGATTTCCAGCATGCCAAAAAACAAGGCTCCAATAAGCACTTGTTAAATAGTTTTGAAAGTATAAGACAGCTCCCGAGAACACCTCTGCAAGACTATAAAAGGTATGTTGTCTGGACCACAAATTGTAGAAGAGTCTAAGAAGACAACTACTTTAGATACAGAAGCTGGAGTGATACAAATGTCAACCTGTTAGACTGATATATCACGTAGAAAGCTACTAGTGGAATCGAGAGATGATATTGTTGAAAAGTTCTTAGCAAACAATTCAGCTTTGTCTTAGGTGAGGTGACAAAATCTGACCCATACAAAGAGAGGTGGAATAACAGATTTGCCTTTATTATTTATACTGTTAAAGATCATGAGAGCCTAATTTTTGAGATGAAATACAAAATTTCATGGCCTGCGAATAGCGGGCTTTGACAGCAGACAAAACCTTTTTACAATGGTTTCTAGTAATAGTAAACAGATGTCTATTTTCTGGAGAATTGTTTTGCTAATAGATATGGAAGTAATGGTTTCTATTAGATAGTACAGCAACGCAATGTGAGGAAAACCATGAAGAAGAATGAGCCTTGACTTGGAATCATCCATATGGAATAAAAAATTCCACGTCAGCCTGAATCCATAAAGTTTCGTAAGAAGCACATTAGTCAGCAAGACAAAAGATTTCTACCCAAGGGCCATTGCGAAGAAAATCATAGAAAGAGTCCCAGTCAGCTTTAAGGTAGTTCTAAGGTACAATGATAGGGGTTTCTGATGATGAAGAAGGAGATAATTTTTGATATGAGTTTAAGACTGCGATTGTTATATTCTTAAGTTTATTATTTTAGTTAATCATCTACGAGTTTTTAAGTTACTTAATTCTTATTACTATAGCATTTTTAAATTTTAATTTTTTTTTATTCGACAAAAACTGTTGTTGATTTTTGGAAGCCAATATTTTTTCATGTAATAAAAAAATAAATACTTCGTTTTTTAAAATACGGTTAACTACGAGCTGAAAATTAATTTTTTTTGTTTATAAAAACAGATTATTTAAAAGTATACCTGACATAAATTTGTGTTCCAGTTAAATTCGGGATAAGATTTAATAAAACAAAGAGCGGGCTTGGTCAACTTGATCAGAAATAACATCAAAAAGAGTGCAGTCTTGAGATGAAGGAGAGCAATTTAGAACAAAGAGAAAGGCGATAGAGTGAAGTAGTGCTAAATGAAACCACATAAAAAGAATAGCCTGTGGATTCAAACAAATGGGTAAATCTTATGAATGTAAATGCCAAGGCCAAGCATGTGACTATTGGAATTAAAGGAAGATAACCATAAACACTAACATCACAAGACGAGACAGCCGAACTCACAATAATCTCACAAAGAGCAAGTAGGTCTGGTGAACTTTGCTTTGAAGAGATTCAGAGGAAAAGTTACTTTAAAGACCATGAATATTAGTGAATAATAGGTTTAGAGGACTTGGTGATGATGATAGTTTTTTGTGTTTTATAGTTTTAAATTTGTTAAAGAACTTAACTCAAAGCATATATGTTACTCAGTGCACTATTTAATAGCACTGAGTGGCTAAAAACTCCTGTGCAAACATGGGAGAACAAAAAATCTTAAAGCAATGAACGTTTTAAAAAATATAAGAGTTGTTAATGATGTTGTTGAAAGAGGTGTAAAATTAATGCGAGACTTTTCATTGTCCCTCACAAAAGATGCAAGCAAAGTGTGTTAAAAGTAGTTGAAAACCACAGAAAGTGTTTTACCAATTTCAGAAAGGTAACTCTGAATATTCTTTAAACAAACTTTTACTGATCTTTTTCCTAAATAAATCAATTTGCTTCGTGTATTCCTTCATATTCAAATGTATAATAAGTTAGAAAATGTGCTGCTTTTTTTTTTAATGAGATTAATTTTGATCATTACTCAATATAAGAAATACCAATAATACCATATATGAGAAATACCAATAAACATAAAAAAATTAGTAATACTTATGATATTTTAATCTCCATATAAAACTTGTTATCATGGCTATAATTTTTTTCTTTCTGAACATGTATAAAAGATAAAAGTTAAAACTGAATTTACTTGTTTGTTTACTCACAAAAAGTTATAGATTAAAAACAATTTGAAATTTCTATAAAAAACAAAAAATAAATATTTTAGAGGGACTTCGGACAAAGGTTAGTGTTAACATTTTGAAAAACAGTCAAGGAGATCAACAATTTTAAATTTTTAATAAAAAAAACTTAAAAACTTTTGATATAGTTTTAAATTTTTACTATTTTATTTTACTTTAACTGAAAGTTTTATGATAGTTGGTTAGTAACTTAAATTATTGTCACTACCCAAAGCTTTGGTACCTACCAAATCTTGGTATCCCTTGGTACCTACTAAGCCCTACTACAAAAAAGCTACATAGCAAAAAATGCGAAGGAAATATCATGTTAATGCTAAGAGTATAGAAATTATATAAAAATTAAAAAACTATAGAAAATAAAAATTTTATTATTAAATGTCAGTATAAAAAAAAATAACAAACCTTGCGACGAAACACAAAACCAAGCACTCCAGTCACAAGTTGTATAAAAAAAATTATAGACAGCGATATTGAAAACTACAATAAAATTTAAAAGATGAAAAATAATTAGTAAAATAGAAATAATAAAAACTAAAAAAAAATTTTTTCCTGGTTTTTATTTATTTTCCTGATCAAAGTTAAAAACTTACAAATTTAAGTAAACAAATGTTTTCTCTTAGAGCTCCTACACAGCCACAAAAACCAAGTAAGAACATCACCACACCAACAAACAAGAAAATGAAAGCTGGATCTAAGTTCCAACCACTAAACATTGATATTGAATTATTTTCCTGCATATATGCCACACGGGCCCACAATGCAATGCCACTAATGAAACATCCTATTAACTAAAATAATTGCAATAAGTATAAAATCATTTGTAAATAAAATTTTTTTAAATAAAAGCTTTAAAAACTTCAAATTTGTGTACAAAAAAAAAAGTTTACCCAGAAAAAAACATTGAAGAAGAAGAGTAAGTATTTGATACACAAGCTTACTTCTGAATCTCGCTGTCTCATTTTGTCTCACAATTTCAGATTTTATTTATAGTTTTTTCATTTTATTACAAAAATAATTTAACTAAAATAAAAAGTAAATACAATAATAATCTCAATTATTACCTTGATCATATTCCAAACCCTAACTATAATCAGAACCCTAACCATGATCCTAACCCTAACTTGGACCAGAACCCTAACCCTAATCTAAAATCTAATCCAAACCCTGATTATAAACCAAATCCTGACCACAATTAAAACCTTAACTAAAACATATATCCTACCTAATTAGTCTAAGTCAACACAGTTGTCATGTTGTTTAAATGGTTGTCATGTTGTTGGTTTAGAAATATAATTTTATGATTGGCTCAAAATCTGGAAACAGTTGGGGATGCTAATAAAAAATTAATTACCAAATATTCTTAAAACTTAAATGGTAAAAAGAACATACTTTATTAAATTTAGTAAGTTAACAAGTAACAACAGAAGATTTAAAATTTGTAAAACACATTATTGGTTGTATTTCAATTTCAAACTACATAATCATAAAATTTTATTTACAATAAAATAGAAAATAAATATAACTATTTTTTAATTATTTACAATAGAATAATTTTTAGAAAGCTGTTTCAAACAAATTACTTCAAATAAATTGCTCTTGTCAAATAAATTCCTATCGTCGAATAAATGATTCATGTCTAAAAATGATAAATAAACAATAAAAATATTTCATTACAATAAAAAGAGATGGGTAAGTTCAGTAAATAAATGAGTCAAATAGGTTAAAATATCTAGAATTCATGTTCTAAATACTAAATTCAACCTATTTTTAGTTTCCTATTTATTTCCTTTAGATGTTAATTAATTTATTTTTTAGTGTTGATTATTTTACTATATCTCTGTCTTGATATTTTACTATACCTTGATTATTTTACTATACTATAAAAACAAGGTACGCATGGTACCCTGGTACTACCAGGGTACCATGCGTAACTTGTTTTTACGCGCAGCAGCTTTGAGGTGCTGAACATCTGCGCAGAGACCTTGTTCATCAAATCTTGTTTTTTGGAGAGAAAAAGTTGAGAGAGTTGATACAAAATTTATAAATACTTGTTATGTTTTTAATTACAAAATAAATCAAAAGTCTAAGAAAAGAAATTATAAAATTTAGAGTTTAATATTGAAACACATGTTTAATACAAAAAATATGTGATAGAAACATGTTTGTGATAGAAACATGTTTGGATTCAAATTTGATGCAAGGTTCAATAAAAAGTTTAAAGATAAATGTAAATAAATAAAATATAATATGTAATACAACATAACATGTAATAAAACATAAAGAAAGACTAGATGAATATAGATGAAAATAAAGATGAAATAATTAAAAAAAAATAAAAATAAATAAATAAAGATGCAGTAATAAACCAAAACAAGCTCTAAAAATAAGTTAAAAAAATCAAGTCAAAAATTTAAAATACTTTTTCAAAAATTTCTTAAAAAATAAAACTTATATTAAACATTTAAAAACATTTCAATTACACTTTAATTACCAACCTTTGAAAACTCCATATGCAAGCAAAAGAAAGTATGACTTCTAAAATCACCATAACAAGAAGAATGCCACATAATACAACCTCAATACGAAGACTAAACAAAAGAACATAACAAAAAATGCAGAAACTAGACAAAAATTTAAAAACATCTTGATGTAAGGAAAAAAAAACAACTTATAAAACCCCTAAATTAATCTGTTATATTAATAAAAGATTTTTTTAATATAACAGATTTTGTCCAAAAAGATCCAACAACTTATAATTATGATGGATAATTATAAATGCAAAGTATGCATACTGGCACATTAAACAATTACTAGTTATGTGGGTGATTGCAAAGTTGACAACCAATAGAAAAAAATCTAATATGCACTTTCATTAAAACTCAATCATTATTTTCTTAGAATATGTATAAGTATGGCTACAACATGCTAAATGTGGATGAATGAAAACTTTTAACAGAAAACAAAAATAATCTGAAAAATAAGTATGAATGATTGAATGAATGAAATGAATGAATGAATGCTTTTGAAGATGTTAGCAATTTAGTCAACAGATGATTTTCAGTGTTAGCAATTTAGTCAACAGATACCAATCCAGGAAAATCCTGTGGAAGGCAAGAATGACCACTCATTCAGTGAATGATCGGATTTCATTAGTGTGAATGTCAACGCTCGCACAGTTTGAAGATGCCTTGCCAAGGACTTTTATCTTTATCCATACCATGCTACATTAAAGCCATGCCTTTCTCGAAAAAATACAGAACACAAGGAACAAAAGACACATTGAGCCTACTGTTAAGCAATGCCCAGCAATTATGATTAGTGGTGCAATCACCACCAATGGTTGAGCTAGTTTGCACTATTTACAACAAGGTGAGGCTGACACCTCACAAATCATTTGGAAATTTTGAAAAACAGCATATCTATTTGGGTAAAATTTGTCAAGACATGGCTTCAAAAAAATGCAATTAAAGATCTTGTCTGGTGGCCAGGCGATTCACCTGTTTTAAATTCCATTGAAAACTTTTTGGGAAAATTAATAGAAGTTTCTAAACAGAATCAACCTCATTACCAAACCTAAAAACCAACCTCATTAGCAGATCTAAGAGAAGCCATAAACAATAGTGCCCTACAACTTTCATATGTAGGTCACTACAGCAGCTATGTTATAATAAAACAAAATTAAAACTATATTATAATTCTAGATTAAATTTGTAGAATGATAAAATAGAATACAACAAACAAATAAGAAAAATCTTTTGCACAAAACTCTAAAAATATTAGAGATGGCAGTAAACTTATTAAAATTTTTATTTCATAGTTGTAGGTACCGCCTGAAAAAATGACAGGTCTAGAAAGAGAGATAAGATAGACAGATAATAGACAGAGATGAGACATTAAACCCTATTATTTTATCAATTATTTTATACTTTCATTCCTAATTATGTTTTTGTCATTAAAAAGATAAAAAATTTATACCAAAAGGATCTGAGTGTATTGTTTGTTAGGTAACAGATATGGTACATAATGCAATTTTTCTATGTTTATAATGGAATTAAATAAAGTTATTAAACTGTTTAAAAAAAAAAATCTTCAAAATCATTAACTATTTTGAATTATTTTTAACCATGATTTTTTAAAAAATATCAAACCTAATACAAAAAAAACACACATACTAAAACATATGCACACACTAATATAAATCTCACATAGAAAGAAATATCAAAATCTCACATAGAAAGAAATAATCTCACATAGAAAGAAATAATCTCACATAGAAAGAAATAATCACACATAGAAAGAAATAATCTCACATAGAGAAAGAAATAATCTCACATAGAAAGAAATAATCACACATAGAAAGAAATAATCTCACATAGAGAAAGAAATAATCTCACATAGAAAGAAATAATCTCACATAGAAAGAAATAATCTCACATAGAAAGAAATAATCTCACATAGAAAGAAATAATCTCACATAGAAAGAAATAATCTCACATAGAAAGAAATAATCTCACATAGAGAAAGAAATAATCTCACATAGAAAGAAATAATCTTACATAGAAAGAAATAATCTCACATAGAAAGAAATAATCTCACATAGAGAAAGAAATAATCTCACATAGAAAGATCACATATCAATATCAATCACAATCATATAAAATAAAAACTCACTAACACATATTGACATACAAATATAAAACTCACTAACACATATTGACATACAAATATAAAACTCACATACTAATATCTACTCACATACTAAAATAAAACTCACATATTATCTAGTTACAAACTAAAATAAAACTCACATATAAACATATTATACTCATATTAAACAAAACTTGTATATAAATGTATACTAACATACTAAAAAAACTCACATACTAATATATACTTACTTTAAAAAAAACTCAATATACTAACACATATTCATAATAAAAAAAACTAAAATAAAACATACTCATAATAAATAATACTTACATATATGTTTGCCAAAATATAAGGTAGAATTGAGATACAAGAATAGGGATTGCTAAAACAACAGACCAAGTTAGGGTTTGCTTTCGCTCTCCAAGGTTCCCTTTATAACCTAATTTTAAAAAAATTATAAAAATATATTTTTACTGCCTGAAACAACAAGCATAAATTCTGAAAAAGAAAATGTTTCATATTCACCAACAACATAAATCCAATACAATTTTAAAAAAGTAAAAATTAATAATTCAGAGAAAATGCAAAACAATAATATCCAAAAAGGATGCAGTCATGTACAAAAAGCATGCAATCAACATTTCATCATAATTTCATCATAAAGAAGGTATGCTTGGTTTTTCTCTTATAGTTTTTGCTCATCTTTTGATTAGATAAAAATAAGTATTAATCTTAACTCATATAAAGTGTTAAATTTTTTTTTGTTAACTCAAGTAAGTACTACTCTTCAGTTTAGTGCTATGGCTTTTATATACATTTAATCGAGAATTTCTTCTTGCAGAATTAATCTACAAGAGAAATTTACAAAACTTTAATAACTTTTCATAGGGAATTTTTACTTAGCAATCATTACAAAAGCATTTGAGGAGACTTTAGACAATGTTCAAAACGCCCGATAATAATTTAACCCAAACAATTTTTTTCATCATTCTCTTTAATATGAACACAACATGTCTCGGATGTTTGGGAGGAATATTGTTGCCATATTTAGGGCGGATCTTCTAACGATGCCCTTTCTCTCCTAGACAAGGTGCAAATATGCATTTTAAACATAGTTGGATAAACATAGCCTGCTCTTGCAGCCAACCTCCAACTACTCACATCATTGTTATGTTGCTTCTCTTTATCTTTTCTAAAAATACTATAATAGGCACTGCTTGAAAGCTTAATCTTGTTTTCCTGATTCATATAATTTGCAATATTTTAGGTTTTCTGTCAATCGTTATTTTGCTTTATAAACTTCATCTTTTCTCTTCCAGTAACTTCCAACTCTAATAGTGGTTGCTTGCAACCTTGTTGGAAGTGAAGATGATTACCAAACTACAAAACAATAAATTATTAACTAAAAAATAGTACACGCTAAATTTTATCTTATATTAGCACCTCTTGTGATATTTTAAATTTTTTTTATTTGTTTGTTTTGTTATAATGATTGATTTTATCAAAAAAATGAAAAAAAATTAATACAAACTTTAAACGACATCTTATAAAGAGTTTATTTTTTTATAATAATATTAACTTTTATGGATCTAACTATTTTTTTTGATTGAATTCATGCTTAAAGCAATATAGCTCTTGCAATGTCTTCGCTGATATTAGTGATTTCTTCGGCTAACCAGATTTTGTTCGAAATGTCTTTTTTGATTTTTGACTTTTTAGTTAGTTCAACTTTATAAGTTGATTTTAAAGAATTAAACACAATTGTAAATGTTTATATAAAACACAAATCAATGACGTAATTTTGAGTTAAAATACATAACTTTAGTTTTTGCGCCAATGTTTTCCACTTTCAAGACATTGTTGTTGTTGCTTACGTTCATAAAATCCAACCGTTGTTAAAAGTCATGATAAATAAAATTAATCATAGAAATGGTTTAATTTATTATATATAATACTTATATAAATAAAATAAATTTATATATAATATTCTTTGATAATTTCAATGAAATGTGTTTATTGTAAACAAACTTTAGAAGTAATTAGTGACTTTATTTAAGAAAATTTCACATACGAAAACATTATTAAAAAGTTTTGTGTTTATTTCAAATGTAATTCCTAATAAATAAATTCTAAATTAACAATTGTAATTTAAAATAGTTTTCTCTTGGAGTTTTAGTTTCCTCAATTTAGTTAATTTTTTTGTTTTACTCTTTTGTTTTTTGTTTTTTTTTTGTTTTTGTTTTTTTTGTTTGGTTTGTTAATCTTATAAACATGAGAGTAAAGATTTTTTTTATAAAAAAAACATCATTTGATTCAGACGGGCAAATATTTAACAAAAGGAAAACAGTTTATGCTTTATAAGATTTTTCGGTTAACCGAATAGTTGGTTAACTGCAAATTGATGGAAACTTTTATCTGGTTTTTTAAACAGATACTAAACAAATATACTAGTTTATATTTATATGTTTCATTTTGCAAAAAATAGTTTAAAAAATAATATTTTATAATAGTTACATCAGCTTTACATAATTAACAGACTGTGCAATATCAAAAAAGTAAAAACAGAAATAACTAAGATTCCTTATAATTAAGAAAGAACTTTGATTAAAAAATTTATTTAAATTTAAAAAAATTAGTTGTTCTTTTCTTGGTTTTCTCCCATCTTTTCTATTTTTTTTTTTTAAAAAGTTAAATTCCTTGTAAACATGTTATAACTTATAACACTATATCAAAAATAATCATAAAGTGAACATTTAACTTTTTAAAACTTAAATCTTTGTTTGTCACAAAAAAATAGCGTTGGTAAAGCAATTAACTTATTTTTAATATTTAACAACTAAAATTTTTTGTTTGTTAATAACTTTTTAAAAGTAAAAAATCATTATTTGCGAAGCCGCTAATTTTAGAAATAATGAAAAAAATTCATTTAAGCAAATGTAGAGAAAAGAAAGAAATCAATTAATGTTAAATAATAATTAAAAAATGTAATAATAAATTTAACTATTAAAAACAAAATTAAATTGAAACAAAATTTTATTGCAGTAGTATATATCAAGGGCTATTCTAGACCATTTTCGACAGCGTTAATCATTTTTGGGCGCCAATATTGGTGGTGCCCAAATTAAAAATTGAGGACCTATTTTTTCAGGTATATGTGATTGTGGCAGGATGGAAGGGGTTAAGAATTAACAGCCCCCTTAATTGCATTTACAAAAGAAACAAAAAACAAAACAAATAAAAAGTTTTAACTGATTTTTAATATATTAGGAGAATAGCAAATAAATGTTTTATAAAAAGAATTATAAAAATATTTATATAATTCTTATTTTTATTTATTTATGTGTATTTATATGTTGACCAAAATAAATATACATGAACAAATAAAAAAACAATAATATAAATAATTTTATTTAACATCAAAAAAAAGAGAAAGATTTTTATAATATAAATAGTTTCAAATAAAACCTTTTTAAACCAAAGCGGCGTAATAAAAATTACTTAATGATGTAAATAATTTTTTTAACAAAAAAGCGCCAGAACTTTAGTAAATGAAGACATTAGAAAAATACATTAATTTATTTACTTTATTTATTAAAAGTTTATTATTTTATTAACAATTTTGTTGTGAAAGCATAGGTTTTTTTTTAAACATAATTCATTAAGATTATATCGCTGTATATATTATTTATTAAAAAATAATCTCTGCGATTTAACTTTAGTTATATTAAAAAAGTTTAACTTACGTTATGTGCAAATTTTTGGTGCAGCTGTTTATTTAAAAGTTAATTTTGAGTTAAAAAAAAAAATGTTCATGAAGGAAAACCGAAAAATCAATGTCATAGAACAAACATTTTTCAAAATAAAATTCTGCATCTCTTGGTATAAAGGTTATAAACATTGAACAAATATTAAACATTTTATAAACTTTATGGAATTTTATCCATTTTTTAAACTTTTTATTTTTGATACGAAACAGAAAATGAAACTAAACACACAGCTGCATTAATAAAATATGTAATTTTTTTGATCTAATTTATTTTTTAAAAGACGCCTAAGCATTAAATTTTTTTTAAATTAAGCAGCCCGGTTTTTATTATTTATATTAAACATTGTAATTAATTATTCATTTAAATTTATATTTCAGTATTTGTTTTATTTTTTGTCTGTTGGTTTTTATAAATTTCAAATGAATATTTAAGCTTTTAAAATCCCTCTTTAAATTTATTTTATGAAAACTTTATTTTAATAGTTTTTTTAATTCTTATAGAAATCAGTACCCTTAATTACACTATTAAATTTGAGATATGTAATGTTTGTTTTTGCGCTAAAGATTTTTTGCTATTAAAAGTGTTTATAAAGGTAATCATAGAAAAAGTTTGAAAAGATTTTTCAAAAAAATTCATATAAATATAATTACATATAATACTCTTTGATAACTTAAATAAAATGAGTTTGTTGTTAACAACCATCAGAATTAATTTGTTAATTTATCTAAAAGTAAAATTATCTTTTAAATTTTCTTTTGATTTTCAGCGCATTTTTGAAATGCCTTAAGTTGTCAAAACAAACTGCAGTGGTCAAGTTGAAAAAATAAAATATTTTAAGTGAGGTCAGGAATGGCATTTGATCTCATTTCTTTAGGTTTTATCAAACATATCACCCTAACTTGAGTATTTATCTGACAGAATTTAATTTTTAAAAAAACCACATTAACTTTTGAATGACGATTATGTAAAAATATTTCTTCCAAAAGTTTCAATAAAAATTATGTTAAATATAACCGTTATTTACTAATGAAAAAACCTCAAATAAAATTGAAAATTGATTTTTATTTTGTTTTCATTTTATTGTAACAACTGATTTTTTTGCTTAAAAAATGCTAATACTTTAAGCTTGCAGCAAAGATTAGAATAAAATGATTTAACTCTGATAAAAAAAATATAATTTAATTTAAAACTAATTTAATAAAAATATATAATTTGATTCTGATAAAAAATATATATATATATCATTTGATTTAGATTTAAAAAATATATAATTTAATTTTGATTTAAAATATATATATTTAAGTTAATTAAAATTAAAGTTAATGCTTGTGTTTAACTTAGCATTCAAACTTATTTAAAAATATTACTAAATATTGTTCAATATATAAGTTTTATTTATTCTTAAAAAAAAATTAGCTCATTTTTATTGCAATTGTTTTTTCGGTTTTCCTTCCTATACATTTTTTTTAAAACTCAAAACCAACTTTTAAATAAACGACTGCATCAAAAATTTGCACATAACGTAAGTTAAACTTTTTTATATAAAGCAAGTTAAATCGCAGAGATTATTTTTTAATAAATAATATATACAGCAATATAATTTTAATAAATTATGTTTAGAAAAAAACCTATGCTTTCACAACAAAATTGTTAATAAAAAACAAACTTTTAA